ATACAGCTTACATAGCTATTCTTATTTTGTTTGCAGTCAATATGCTTTTGAGTTTTATGAGAAAGACTTTTAATTTATTTTAAGAAAAGAGCAAGATTTTATTTTCTATTGAAATGTTTGTTTTACTGTTGGAACAGAGATTTCATTTATGCCAATAATTTAAAAGTGAAATATATGTATATTTGCTTCTAGACAACTTAACTGTCCCAATTGTAAACAACTTTTAGGAGATGACATACTGAATAGACGTTTGACTACTAAACTTAATTTTTCAAACTACTAATCTGTTCTTTGGCATAATCTGAAAGGAAAAGAAAAAAGCACTCCTCACTTGCCCAAGGTTCCCCCCTTAGGTGAGAATACTGTCGTAATCTGGATTCATGTTTTGATAGCCACATTAATAGAACCTCATCTTGCTCATAGATTTTCCCATAGTGAGTTAATTCACTCTGCATGATGTGGTTTCTGTCCTGCTCCGGTCATATCCAGTTAGAGCCATTTCCTTTATATTTGGATGGTATTCATCATGTTTGAACTTTTGAGTTTTGATGTATTTGGTTTATGAAGCTTTTCAAGGGACTGGAAGCTTTTGATCGTAAACCTCCAGAGAAATCAATAGTGCAGAAAGTGGCCAATGCATATGAGATTTTAGGTTTGCCTGAAGAAAAGGAAAGGGTTTTGGAGAAGTACTCTGATCTTTTTACTGAGACAAGATCTTCCAAGAAATTTAGGAAGGCCTCATCTAAGAAAATGAAGTCAGGTAAGTGTTCTATTTATTTAGTTGTTTCCTCTTTTTGTGGGAGGAATGCCTCATGGCATGAATTAGAAAGAGGATCTCTTTGCTTGATAATTAACTGGAAGAGCTAATTAGGTGATAATGAATTCTAAATTGTGAAAATTTGAGGATTAGTGAAATGAAGAATCAAATTCTGAGGCAGCATTAGGTAAATAGGTCAGCAGTAGGGCAAAATGACCTAAAATCCCTTCAACAAGCTTAAAACGAATGGATCTCATCACGCTGTTTTTGCTGGCACTGGAAATGATTATTCTTGGAATTGTGCAATTCGAAGTTCTGACCCCAGAACAGTTCTGTTCAATGTTATGGTGTATGCAAACTGGTAAAGATATTAACACTGAATTAAACAGTTTATCTTTGATTTATAGGACATCAAATTGAGCATCTTAGAAACTTTAGACGTAGAGATTGATACTCCAGTAACTTTCTCTTCTGATTCTATATAACTACAGAACTGAACCGAGCAGAGTTTGTGAAACCAGTTATTGCTGGATGTAAGGGCTCAAATTTTTTTACCCTGCCACTGTTTGTAGTGTTGGTTAGTGAGAGGAAATCCTATATCAATGGAACAGATAATATAGTTGTTTAACTTGGGTGATTTATGATTTCAGGCCAGGGGAAGCATGTAACAACTTCAGATGGTCCTAATGCTGTATGAAAGTGCTGACATTCAAATTTCGTCTCTAAGTTTTGGCATTAAGGAAATTCTGTCAAATTGTTTAAGAGACTCCTAGACCTAGTTGCAAATTCTATGCGTCTGGCAAAATCATGTCATCACGCATACTCAAGGGCTCCAGGATTTCAAGCCCAAGTGGAGAGCTGGAGTGAGAGAAAGGCCATGGTTGCTTTCCCCATCATCATGCTGATTGTAAATAATGATCATATTGTATGAACGCTTACCATGTCTCTAGTGTTTTAGTAATATGTTCAGCAACTATAAGTTAAGAGCTGATTTTATTTACGTGGTTTAAATCAAGCTTTATACATGGAGATTTTTTTTTTTTTTTTTTTTTTTTTTTTTTTTTTTTTTTCTGAGGCCACTATCATTGGGTTATTGATTCCCGTGAACCAAAAAGAAATCTAGCACTAACTGATTGTATTGCACAGTTGAGTCATGCTATGATCAACTTGTTCAAGTGATTTTTTAAATTGTTGTCTATGAGTTGTAAGTAGATAGAGACAGACGACTATTGTCTGAGTGAGACTCCAAAAAACAAAGATGTAGAAATTATAAATCTTTGAGCAAATTACTTTTAAACGGTGATTAAATACTTTGTCTTTCTAGGTGATTAGCTTGGAAACTAGCATAGAAGTGCATTCTAAATGTAAAATCATTAAAATATGACACCAACGATCATTATAGGTTGATACTGATCATGGAGATACATGTACATACAGTTAAATCTGATAACAATTTGTGGAGAGATTTCTCCCCAAAGAAGCATTGAAGTAGACATGGATAAGAATGGAGAGAGTGAAACAAAATAAAAAAGTTTGAGGAATTTTATAGAGCAGTAATATGATAATAAAATACCAGAAAATGTTTAACGCTATTCTGGAAAATTAATGCATTAATATACATTAGATACAAACTAAATATATAAGCAAAATACTAAAATTAAATTTTCTAAAAATCTGCTACTACTATAAGAAAACTTTCAATTAAACAATCTGCAACTGTTATAAAAAAAAAAAAAAAATTTAACTAAATCTAAAACTGACATTTCATAATCTAACTTCATGTTTTATGAAATAGAAATTTATTTGTTGACAGGGTAAATTTAAAAGTAAGATGCACTAATTTTTAACAAAAAGAAGCAACTTAGAATTAGAAAATAAAGTAGATATTTTCTGAACAGTAGCATATAATATGTTAGTTTTCTGATCAAACAAATATTTAAAATATAAAAATGAAAAAAAATTAAATTAATTTTAAAAATTGATGTATTCTTAACGACGTGGCTTTATCTGGTTAACACCAATACTAAACTCTATATATACATAAATTAAGATAACATGTGTTTGTCTACATATACAGGCATGTGTTTGTGCAGCTCTTATAAAAGTAAGCAGAAAAATTGAAGTAGAGGCTGAGGATATCTTAATCAGCAGCCGAGAGAGGAAGAGAGGTCCATGAAAGGGGTCAAATGCTTTTGTTCTCATCTAATTCCAAAATTAATGAAATTCATTTTGAGAAATGGGAGAAGGAAGAATCCGGAATTTGAATAGAAAAAAAAATTGTTTTCATCCATGTAGTCAGTGTGTGTGTGTGTATATAATAAATGACAGAGAATCCTAATTTGATAATATTATAAATGAAAAATTATAATACAAGTTTGAGGCTACTGTATTGGAAGCTGGTGCCCCATTTCAATATCAATATGTTGTACAAGAAAGTATTCAAGCAAAATATTATTTAAATTTAGCATGACATGGAAACTTGCTTTGTCTTTTTGTCTTTGATGCATTTGCTGTTAAAAAGGATGTGAAACAACTTGGTTTTCAAAATCCAAAAACATTGCTCATTCACTCTTCTGCTACAAATTTCTATCCACTCTTATGAACTTTACTGCACATATTGGGATAATTTTGTTTCCTAACAAGCTGTAGTGATTTTCGTGAAGCACGCTTTCAATTAGGTTGTATCGGTCTATACTCTTCTATTTTAATATTCTTTTGAGATTATCTGAAAATTTTTGAGAGGAACTTGAAAAGAAGGAATGGAAGAAAAGCATGATATTGATAAGGCTGATGATATTTTATTGCCCGGTTTCCGATTTCATCCCACTGATGAGGAGCTTGTTGGGTTTTATCTCAAGAGAAAAATTCAACAGAAGCCTCTTCACAT